GCCATTGTTCAATGCTTTTAGGTATGAGAGGCTGAAATATTGTGTGTTCTTGAAAATTACGGTCTTGTAGGATTAAACTGAGCCAAAGGCAGTGAAAGCAGAAGCTGTTCTGGCTCCCCTCCACATATTTGTCAATACACCTCAATCATGACCCATGATAGTCTTAGTATCCCGATCGTGTGGTGTTTGCATAGACACTGTCAATCATACATAAATTCTGTGCTGGTTTTCTGTCATGTGGATATAAGTACCTTTCAGAATTTGGCTGAAACCACCAAACTCTTTACATCTGAGTCTTTGTCCAGACTTATGAAACCTTAAAACTATAGCATATTATTATGCCACTACTTACCACACCACAGTCTTCATAAACATTTCTCCTACTCATAAACCAATGGCTCCTGTTTATTTTCTCTGTCATACGTAAGCTAGGAAGTAATTCTTCCTAGGAAGACATTGTTCACAAGAAAGGCAAAGTTATTGAAACACTTTAGAGGGCAAGGACTGTGTTTTTATTCAGTGCTGTGAGTGTCTAGCTGAAATGCTGGGGTCTAAACCCCAAGCCCTGAATCAAGATTGACATATGGATGATGCCCACAACCAGGCTGGAGAGACCTTCCTCTTGGTTTTCTCTCAGGGCCTGGCCAACTTTGGGTGAAGACGAATCAGGAAGTTAACACCAGATGCCTTGCCTTTAGTGTTAAAATCAGGTGTCCTGCCTTTAAAGTTAATAGTATAAAAGCTGACTCTATTTGCAGGGAGTGTGGAGAGGAGATTGGGTTACGTTATTGGAAGAGGTCTCTGACTGTCTACTGCAGTAAGAGCTTTCAGCAATGGTGGGACAGGCATCTGAGATCAGGACAGAATGAGGGCTATGTATGTAATGATGTTTTTCTTTGGCAACTCCTATGGTGATTTCTGTGTGGTTGGAATCTAGCTTGGCTTGTCCCTTCCTTTGCTGCATTATGTACCATAAGTCAGTATATTGATTTATTTATTCCTCTTTTTGTTAGTCACATCAGATCCTTTCTGTGTTCTTTGGAATGGTATGATAAAGAAGTCTGTCGTATATGTTTACTGCTAATGTTCTCTTTTGTGTTGGGCTGTGTAGTCAGCAAAAGACCTGCAAAGTGAAGGGATATGTGTTCATGTTGGATGAGTCCTATGACAGCAACAATATAAGCCTTTTGACACATTGTCAGCAAGTATCTAATTCTTTGACCTTCTCTTTGACTATGATCTGGCTAATTTTCCATGTGTACTCACTCACAAATGTACATCTGTTTGACAACAGCCAAGAGAACTGATGTCCTACAATTTTTCAGTTTTTTTTTTTTTTTTCTGTTTCTTGCAGGTGAGTTGGGCTGATGTGTTTGATCTCTATCACTGTTATCTCAGTTTGCTCAGGAAAAAAAAAAGTTTATTCCCATTTAAAGTGGGTAACTTTATTTCTCAGAGCATCTCAAAAGCAATTCTAGCAACATTTAAGGACTTTCTAGAAGTAGTTACCAAATTAGCACCAGCCAGTAGATGCAACAGTTTTCAAAGAAATTGGCATAACTCGTATTTTCTTATAAAAGCATTATGCATTCAGACTGTATATTGTGAAACACGGATGAACTGAGGTGGCATTTGTCAAATTGTGTGTTGTAAGAAGCTATGGAGACTTCAAAATGCATCTTCTAGTTTTCTGTGTTCAAAAAATCTGAAGTATTTTTGTAGGAATACAGGTATTCTGCTAGGTTACAGTAAGATCCGCTAGGCACTAGACACATGAAATTAAACAGACAGATTTGTAGCTGATAAGCTTTTTTTACATTAGTACAATGAACTTGAAAAAATATCTGCATTAAAACACAGGTACTCTATGGCTGTTCAACAGTGTTCCAGTTCAGACCGACACATCAGGCGGTGCATGACTCCCAGCCAAACATCTTGTTAAATACTTGCAGGATTTCCCACAGCGGATCTTACTTTAATCAAGTAATTCAAAGGTCTCTTTTGTAAATACAATAGAAGGGCAGGGCTTGTGTTTACGAAGTACTCAGTATGGAAATCCTGTATTAATTGAGGTATATTTACTTCACTTAGGACAGTGTCCACATAGTAACTCCTTAAATAAAAGGATTATTGCTGTTGCCTGTTCCAGAGAGTCAATCACTCACAAAACTAACCCATCACATACAGAAAGTCATGAGGAAAGGGCATGAGAAATGTGTACTGTAGACAGTAGAGATATTCCAAGCTAAAGAGAACAACTTTAGGGGTGATTTTCTCACAATGGATGTGAAAGAATATAATTTATAAAAAGCAGTTTTGTATCTCTGGGAACTACTAAAGAGACTGTGTCTCTTTCAATCTATTTCCAGAATGATTAGCAGAGGTAATGCCAGATGTTGTCTTTTGCTAATTTTCTGGATTCATATAAGCTGTGCTTTAAATTGTCATCTTTCTAAGGCAGCAGATGTAGTTTCTGTGAGTAAACACAAAGTGCTTCCACCCAGCCCACTGCAGGATCTGGAGTTGTTACTGTTAACATTAAAGCATTTCGAGTTTCACATAAATGTTGTATAAAAAGGAAAAATAAAATTATTACTGAGTAATAATATTATTACTCAGTAATAGATTACTAGAACTGCACTCCTCAGAGTTCTTTATTTTGCTATGCCAGAAAATGCCAGACTCAAAATGAGCGACACACCAGAAGAATTAAACAGAGAATCAGCTTTTCCCTCAACAGTGAGCTGGAAATTGTGTTGCTTCTATATTCTATAGAGTGAAATATTTTTCCCTTTTTTAGTGAATTTTAATTGTGCTATAGTTGAAAAGATAGTTTTGCCAGTCTATTAAATACCTTGCAAAAAAAAGTGTTTTAGAACATTTTTAGGTAAATGTAGGTCAGCACAAAGGAATCATACAGTTGGAAATATTTTCCAGTGTTTATGTTCAGATGTTCAGACCTGTCTGGCTCCTCTCTGTTTGCATGTGTTGGGGTTATAGGCAGTCCGGCTACATTCCGCATTGATTTATATAAATATATTGCAGATTATTAACCTCCAGCCAAATACCAGCGAATTTCACTTTTCAGGAAGGTTTGTGACTTTTCACAAAACCGATTTACTGTATATAGGGTAGCTGTCTTCTGTGTACACTCCATTAAGGGCATCACTAAGACAATTATTTATTTGCCTTTATGAGAAATGTGCTGAGATATTTGCTGTTCCAATCACTATGTTACCATAATAATTTAATTAATATTTGTTCATGTGTTTACAGTTAAATACCAAATAGTCTTCTAGTAGAAGTAAGGTAATCATATCTTCATATTCTGTAACTCCAATTCTCAAATTATTACTCACTGAAAAGCTTTATCAGGCTAAAAGGACTGTGCATGAACCCATTTTCAAAAGATGGTGGCTAATAAACAATTGTCTGACCAAAGATTACTTTGGAAATGCTGTTAAAGTGGGACCACAGTCTTAACATGTGAAATCTGTATCATCTCCTAGTGAAACATACTGCTTTCTTAAATCTAGATTACAGTCTTCACAGATAGTTTTGACACTCCTTATTTGTCCTCCTCTTGTGAAATATTTTGAGACTTAAGGTAAGAAGTAAAAATTCAGTACAAATTGTTTTCCTAGTCTGTCAGACGGCCTCTTTGAAAAGCAGTGACCCCCAGGGCTTGGTGCATGATCTGTTGTCTACAGATCCTGCATATAAAGCCTTTAGTTCTAGGACAAAGAACAAAAATATTGCTTGATAACGTTATCAGAAATCCTACACTTTGCATGAAGTAAGGAAGCAGTTATTCTAAGAGGACCAAATCTGCACAAAATAAAACAATGTAACTGCTATGATGATGACCAAAATAAGCAGTAGTATCGACAGTACTTTGGTTTGTTATCGATGATAGATTCTTCGATTTAACTGTATAGACTTTTTTTCTCCATAAATGTACTCATACATATTCTGAATCTATTGTCAGCTCCTAAAAAGTGATTGATTTTTGGCCTTGCTTCAGAGGGAAAGGCAATGTGATCTGCATAATCTAAAACTAAGTGAATAAACACGTTAGTAAAGTATGTGAGTGGGGAACAATTGTCCTTCCATCTGTAAGATGGTTTTCTATTGTGATTTTTATAGAAGTAGGCCTTGAGGAAGAATAGTGCAAGTTGCTGTATGAGTACAGATGTGAAGCATAGATGGATGGGCAGACATTTATGAAAAAGGTAAAAGAGTGATTAAAGCTGGTACAGCAGATGATGTGGAGATGATGAGAGATATCCTAATTAAAAAGAGAGAACAATAGAAAAGAGAGTAATCAGATAGGAATGTGACCTTATGAAAAGCTTTGCAGATTAATTTGAATTTGATGTTGTGCAATGAGGTCAAATGATAAATTTCAGTAAAGGAATGACATAAAGTGATGAGTGAAGAAAGCTTTCTTAGTGGTGGCGTCACGTGCACAAAGCTTTTCCCAGTTTGTACCCTGACTCTGAAGGTATTCTTTTTGCCCAGGAACTTGTAAGAGTAATCAGGAAACAAATCTGGCTCTGCAAAAGGAGTTTTGGGAAGAAACTGGAAATACATGCAAACACCTGTACATTTTTTCTGAAAAATGTTTCTCTCAGAATTTTTTTCTAAATGCCTGTAAGTGCAGCAGCATAGATTGTGGACAAATTCTCTGTATTAAGTCTAGTTAGTCTTTAAATAAAAAAAAATTCTTTTTCATGTAATTATTTTACTTTGAACAGATGATGTAGTCTTAATACTTAATCCTATTTTAGAAACCATACATGAAAGAGAAATGTTATACTATTTATTTATCACTAGTTATCTGATGAATCAAGAGCTAAAAGATTGCTCTCTCTTTGCAAAGCTTTTTTTTCCATTCTATGTACTGTAAGAAATTTAAATAGACAAATATGAGCTGCAAGGTGTGTATATCTGTACTGGTTCCTGTATTCTTACCTCCTCTCTTCTTTTCTATCTCTCAGATTGTTTGATGTGTGCACAGTGTCACGAACAGACAGAGAGACCAAATTAACGTTGGTGTTTGAACATGTGGATCAAGACTTGACTACTTACTTGGATAAAGTTCCAGAGCCTGGAGTGCCTACTGAAACTATAAAGGTATTGAAAACTAAATATTTTTGATAGGATTTCAGAAAATATTAGCTTGGAGGGGCAAGGAGATAAATCACAAACTGCATTTTGTTTCCATAGAATTTTGTTATATCCAGATTGACTAATGCCCAACTTGGGACATGAATTGCAGCACAAAGATCTGTGTTCACTAACTGATGTGATCTCGTTGTGGAAATGTTGCACTTGGGCTTGTTTTTTATTTTTTTTTTTCTGGATTTATAAATCTCCTGAATCTCTACTGTTTTACCAAATGCAACGTTACAAATCATTAAGAATTACGTTTGCGTGCAGTGGTAGCCAAATATTTCCATTATTATTTAGTCAAGGACTACTTGAACCTTCCCTAGATGATATTTGGTAGAGTGCTCAATATTGTTAGAATGGATAAAAAACATCTTGTGCTCGATCCCTTCCCCTTTGCATTTTGTTTCCTCAAGAGCCTCCTTTTATTTCGTGTACCTCTTGCCAGAGAGGTTTCTCTACGTCCCAAGAGCAGGAAATGTTTGTCATGGGCCTGTGCTGAGCTCTGCAGAGGGTGGGCTTAAGGAAGGGAGTAGCCACGACCAGTTGTTGTAGAGGCTGGAAAGACTCTCAGTAACTGGAAGGAAGATTATAAAGTTTTCCCTTCATGTTATCTCATATTCTGTATCTATAAGGGAGGACCTCTTCCCAGGGTAGCACAGGCTTACATCATTGGTACTAAAATACGTATACCAGCTCCTCTACTGTGAATTTCACAGCAAAGTGCTACATTGAGGATCATAGCTTGAAATGTTTGACAGAGTGTTTACACCTGGCAAGAGAAGCAGAGGGATTGATGTTCCTACGTTTTGACTGTCTGGTTAACATTCCTTTTTATTTTCCTTTTTATTTTCCTTTTTCTATGAGGAGAAATAATTTATGCTTTCAGAGACAAATTATCTTGCATTTGTATAAGTACATTCTGGAAATATGTTGCATCATCTTAGTCAGGAAAAAGTCCTGAGGGAAGAAAAGAAAACATGAAACCTATTTGAAATTTAGGGTGGTGGGTTGTTTTTTGGTTGGTTGGTTGGTTGGGTTTTTTTGTTAACAACTTCAAACTTCCATTTAGTTTGGTTTGTCACTATAAAATTAGACATAAAAATGATCATAGATCTGATAAAGACCTTTTTACTTGTATCAAAGTCACAAATGTAGAACATCAGTCAGTACCAGCAACCATGTTTTCTAAGCAGCCTTAGTTGATTTTTTTTTTTTTTTTTAAATGGATAAAGCTTCAATTCCCAACAGAAGGCTGGAATGTACCTCTTGCATATGAAAGACTCTTTGTGATAATGCTTTTAGGATTCTTCTTTATTCTTGGGCTTAGGTAATGAATTATTTCAATGTTACTAATGTGAAAATACCATACAAGGTGATTGACATATTATCTAACTAAATATATTGAAACAGATGGGAACTGAATGACCAAGCCTCTGATATTTGTTTGCTATGTCTTTCAAGCTGTGTGCCATTTAAAGCAAATAGAAGAGGTGAGCATTGGACTAAAACACTTGTGATTTTATAAGAGCCTGTTCTAAACTTGCACCAGTAGACTGGAATACATACGTATTACATATTACAAAATGTAAGCATTATATAGACTGTATATAATATCAGTTGTAGACTGATGAAGGAGATTGTTGTGTTTATCTTTTAAAAGCACTATTCTGCATACATGGTTTACTAGTTCAACCTCATTGGTATATATGATAATTTGGCACAATAAAAGAGAAAAATTTAGCCACAGAAACAAGGAGAAGTAATTCTGGTCTTCTATGTATCGTGCAAATTCCACTGCAGCTGGTGAAATCAGTGAGTGTAAAATTCAGCTTGTGGTACATACAGCTGTTTTTAAATGGGTGAGGAAAATTGTAAAATTGAGTTTACTGGGTTGTTGCTGCTGATTTCAACGTTTGCACAGTAGGTGATGTGTTTTTTTTTAATTCTGTTTGGAGTAGGAAAAGAGAGATTTGGTTAACTTCAGTTGCACCCTGTTGCTTCACTATTTGTATGAAATCATCCAGTTTATGGAGGTACTTTTGCTGATAGTCAGGGCTGATCCTGTGAGGAAGGGTCTCAAGGCTTATTCCTAATGCATTTTGTTAACTTCCTAAGGATATGGTCTTTATGGAAGAAAATTAAGCAAAGCATAGTTTTCCTGGTTGCAAGGAAATATTGTCATTTTGCAGCAACCAAGCATTTAACCCAGTGTACATACATTGTTAAATGACTAATCTGACTTTTTATGGTTTGACTTTTCAGGTTAATATGGTTTTGTACTTCATTTATTTTCCAGAATTGCAGACAATTTGTGTAGAGCATTTCCCCTCACCAGTAGCACAGTACAATACATCTTCCAGTATTGTAAGACCATCTAGTAAAATTTTGCACATGAGCAACACAGAGGTGCCAAATGAGCCAAGTAAACTATGGATAGCTTGAAGTTGAAGGATCTAATATACCTCCGTGGCATCATGGTGCAAACTCATCGGTTGTTAATGGAACTTGAATGACATAAAAATACTATAAGAGAAGTATCAGTCCTGAAAGATCTTTTCTTTGTGAATTACCATCATTTGGGGGAGGGAGACTCAGTTTTTGCTGCTTTGGGGCATGCTAGGGCTTTTAGTTACCAACTGCCAAGGAATATAAGTGATACCACCACTATTTTGAAAATTTCCTTTGTCTTCAGCAGATAATAGTTGGACAGTGGCAGTTCAGAGAAACTAACTGTATTAATAATTTAAACACAGCTAAAGCTTCTGTCTTAAAACTGCTCAGCAATGCCTTTCTAATGTCTAAAGCCCTGCAGCAAGAGTCATTCCAGAGGTGTGCCCAGGTACCCATAAAATGATAGAAATGGGGCAGTTTCCCTTCAAGGCATTGCCTGGTAGTGGGAAAACTTGCCCAGGTTGTAGGGCAGATATGCTCACTTCCCCTCCATGTTACCAGGAGCATGAATGCTGTAGTCCATTTCTGTGGCTATAGCCCTGACTACTGAGTTCTAGGTTATTCTGGACAGAGGTATTTTAAATCTTTCTGCTGAAGCACTTCCATTGTTTTTTAGTTGAGTATATTTTGGGCTAGAGGGATGGAAAACAGGACTCCAAATACTCATGGACATGACATTCACCTTTGAAAGAGTGATGTTCAAGAGAAGATGTTCAAGTCCTTAATCTAATTAATATATCTTTAACTACTGGATTATAGTCCTGCTCACCCTGGCTGGCTTCCTCTGTCAGAACTAATTAATATATGGTCCATATGGGACAAATCAGAATCAGCAATGACATCATCTTCCTTCTTTCCTCTCTACCCTTTGTCTCCTCCCTTCTTTCCTTCCTGGGATACTTTTTAGCTTCGGGGCAGTTTATGTGGAAATGGAAGGTATGAATTCAGTTTCCTTAGTACCTAGCTGTTAGTCATGCATAGGTCTTTGGTAATATTAATGGTGTTAGCAGTTGAGCCTCTGAGAGACTTCATTCATAAGGAACTTTTGTTGGCTGACATCAGGGTAGTGGAAATAAGAATGACACAGGTCTGCCATGGAACTTTTTTCTTTTAATAGTTACCAGGACACTAAAGCATTTTGACAAAGCATGTTTAAGCTGAGTGGACATATGTTGATGTCATGTTTGTGAGGCTGGCATGATTTTTTTGATCCTAAAGTACTTGGATATGAATATGTTGTTCTAGCAGTAGTTACATTTTTAATATAGAAATTATGTGTGTGCAGACGTTGATGTTTATTGATTTAAATTATTGCAGTGCATACAACAATATTTAGTTTTAGTATGTACATGTAATGGCTTCATACATAGTGGCAAAAATAAAATGTTTAAGAATGGCACTGCGGAGATCCCTTCAGTCATTTTGTGCTGCCACACCAAGGAATCTATAAGAATGAGAGGGGATAGCAAACCAAAGTTCTTTAATTTCTGTAATGAACAAACTTAAACTTTGCAGGGTGATGTCATTATAAGTAAACTTGTGGCTTCTTAAAACTGATCAGAACTTAGCTTACTCAAGCTATGTGTGCTAACTGGGCTGTGCTTATTTCAATCTGACAGTGAACAGAGGAGGGAATAGAAAAAAGGTCTCCAGTATAGCCGTTGCATATATTATTTATCATGAGATGTTTGAAGAGCTGGGAAGGTCCTTCTACCCAGGTCTGTGAATCTTTATGATACTCCCCTCAGCCTGGAACAGGGCAGCCAAATTACAGAGAAAACGGAGTTTAAAGTGTATCCTTTTCTCTGGCATTCCCCGATTCCTCACCCAAGTGAATGGCTTCTGTGGATATTACTGTTTCTCCTTTGCATAGGCACCTAGATCACCATCTGATTCAGTGATCCAGGTTTTGCTATTTAGATGCCTAAAATTTAGTAAGTACAGCAGTGAACCTAATTTCCTTTTGTGGGTTTGTCGGATAGTAGCCCATAAATTGAATTTTAAAATATTACCCCCAGTCCCAGAATAAACACTGCTGTTGCAACCCTGTCCATTTCCTGTAACTTATATTACCTGCTATGAAACTAGGCAGACTGGTCACATCTCTGCAAGACTCTTGGAAAATTAATATGAAGATGTTGCTTCTCAGAAAGCAAACCAGTGTTCAGTGTTGTGAGGTGAGTCATCAGCCATCTGCCACGGTTGTACCTACTCACTTGATCACGTATGAGATGTGGACCAGATGTCACACAATCATGCAATTCTGAAAACAGTACAAGGTATTCCAGGAAAACAGATTCACCAGTACTGAGAGTCTTCAGAGGTTGGCCATATTTAACAACATCAAAGCTAGAAGTCACTAAAAAAAGAGCCTACTCAAATTAATGAGAAAGATACTAAGAGAAGACCTGTTACTAACATTTTCCCATCAGTACTTCTGTGGTAAAGAAAGAAGCAAAACTTAGTGAGGAATTTAGAGTCCACAAATAATGGATCAAATCCCAAACTCA